TCACCTTTTTTGCTAAGTTGCGAGTGAACGCATGGCTTTAGTTTGGCTTCCGGTTATATATAGCACACTCACTTGCGCATATTCAGGGTGGCCCTGCTCCTATACGTGATACATTCACGTGGTGGGGTCTTTCTGGTGGAGCAGCCGGGATCTTCCCTGTTGTGGCGCCACCCACGGCTTAAGGAGCTGGCGCGTGTCATCAAGGCTAGCGTCTTTGAACATTTGGAACCAACGCAGGGGAAACTGAGAAGTGTCACAAAGCTTACAAACAACACGCGTGATGAAGAGGGATTGCGTGCGTGCACTTTTGAGAATCAATTTGTGCTCAGTTTCAGCGTCGCCCATTGAACATCTTGGCAGGTCTTCCGCCAGGCCTTCTGGATGCGGCTCTATGGATCGCCCACGGCTAAGAGAACGAAATGCTGGTCCAATTCAAGAGCTGTGCGTTTACTTCGGACCGGGAAGCTGAAGAAATCAGCTAGGCCAAGTCGGGCCCCACAGCTTGCCAGAAAGACTGTATCTAAGAGCGGTCGCAAAGGATATTCAGGATCCAAAAAAGAATTGAAGGCCAGTCAGATCCTAAGCCTATATAAGCTTGCTTGTCTAAAAGCACTGAAGCAACCCCCCATTTATTGGGGGTGAATGGGGGGGTTGCTTAGGTGAGTTTTCGATTTGTGTTGGTGAGATGAGATGCTTCTTCTTTGTTATTTTGCTGACCTTTTCATTTTCTGGGTCAGCATTTGGATGGACCCCAGGATCTACCCATGTGGATTTGCGTTGCAGCTGGCGCGATCCTATGGGTCTTTTCTCCATGATGGGCCAAAGGTGGAAACCGAGGATAGGGGTGATATAGAACTGATATTTTATTTTTGTCATATATATATATTTCTTTATTCTAACTTGCGCTAGCTGCTATAGTGTGTCTTGCTTTTCCAGCGCCCGCAGGACGAGCACTTGCCCAGCCTTTTGGCTGCCATGGCCCAGACCCCAAGTATCTATTTTGAGGATTTGTGGCTGGACGCTCAGATGCCCGACATCCTTATTTACTTGGCGGGTAAAACCTCACACTGGACTGATGAAGCGGCAGAAATCATGGCCCAAATGCCTTGGGGACGCCTTCAGGAAGAAAGCGCAGTGATTGTTGATGGAACTCCGAGTTATTAGCTATAGCGGGATTCAACGATGTTCCGCACGCAGTTTATTTGCCATTTTTTGGCACACCTATAGATCGTATAGATGCCCCATACAGTGGCGTAAATCAGCGTAGAGTGGCGTAAAAAAGCGTACGAATCGTACACCTCCAGTGTTTGAAAAATTTGTTCACAATTGACTTGACCAATATGTATGTTTACGCTGTTAGCGCGCTTTAGTGATAGATTTGTGTGTTCGCAGTTTCATCGCAGTTTGCGCAGTTTCATCGCAGTTTGCGCAGTTTGCGCACTTGCGCACTTTACCTTTTTGTGAGCAAGCTCGATCGACCATGCTTCGTGCTGACCATGGCTCTAGGCTTGAGACCAGGCGTAGCTCCAAGCCGGCCAATTATACTTAGCGTCATGAGTGGTGAGACTTTGGCCGCTGCGACGTCCTTCCTGAAAGACCAGGTTCTTCAGGTGAAGACTGAAGCGGACCTAGAGGAGATGATACAGGCAAGGCGCTTATCACTTATCGCATATAATACAGTTTTCTCTATTGTCACGCGCCAGGTTGCACACCGTCAACTTCAGCGCTTGGGAGGTTCGTCCGATTCCATTCATGAAGTGTCAGCGCATATCAATGGTGTTAGTGCTGTTCCCTGGGATGACGATACTCTCCCGGCCACAGAGGAGGAGATACAGGCCAATTTCAAGGCCACCAGGACTCCCGAAGATCCAGCAGCGGTTGAACCTCCCAACACACCAACCCACCATGAAGGTGAAGGTGAAGGTGATGAAGGTGCAGATGGTGAAGTTACTGAACCTGATGATGACGATGATGATGATGATGATGAGCAAGAGGACAGGGCAAGTCCGGGTGATGAGATGTCGCCAACCTGCACAGCCGACCCCTATACTTTGGATTTGGACTCCGACAACGAGGCATGTGGGTTTGGAGCTTGCAAGATTTCTGCGTGTGTTTACTTCGTCTTGTGTTCAAATATATACTTATATATACATATATCCGCAAACATCAGTGCAATCCAAAAAAGAGCTATCCAGGAGGGTCTTATTACGGACACGGACATCAGCAATGTCTTGAACAAGTTTGTGCTCCAGACCATTCCGACACCTGTCAAAAATGAATCCAAAGCCCATGACTTAGCTTTCCACGCTAGGCTCATGGGCTTGTGCTGTCTGAAGTTTGCTCAGGCCCGTGCTATGGAGACTGGTGGGAACCAGGCTGAACGTCGCTTTGTCCAAGCCTCATCTAATGCGCAACGTGTTTCTTTGCGCCTTCACATTTCATCTTAAGACCCTGCCCAATTGGAAGAGTGGTTGTCGACCCTAGGCATCGCTCTCTGCTAAAGAGAGGGCCGCGGTGACAAACCAGCTTCGCAGGATTTGTATGCCAAAGACAGGAACTGGATCGTTAGAGGTTCCAAAGCACATTTCAGACAAGTGGAAAAGCAAAGGTGCTGGTCGTGAAGAACTATTAGACCACTACCTCAACGAGTGCCAGGGCAACAAGGCCAATTTTTTCATGTCACCCTCACTAGGGCTCCTGGCTTTCGAACCTCCTTCTGCAGGAGAAGTTCCTCAAGACCGTCGTGCGGAAGTACAAGCGGGTCCGTCGAGGCTCTTTCAAGGTCCACGCTGGCTTCTACACAGAGCAGCAAATGAAGGATGTCTTGCACTTCAATCCGCCCATGCCTCAAACCTCAAACCCTTATTTATAACATTGATGGGAAGTCCTTCAACTATACCTGTGCCATGGTTTCACTTCAGGAAACGCATCAAAGCGATCAAGAAGTTCTGCACCGACCCACGTCGCAAGAGAGTCTTGCGAGGAGGAACCTCGCCAAGTCGAAACGACCCAACCAGTCAAGCGCTTGGCTCCGGGCCATGGGCCGCCAGGTGGAGCCAAACCTTTGCCTCCTGTTCCAGACGCAGCCAGTGGTTCGGAACACTCTGATCGCGAGGACGCTTCTGGGGACGAGGCAAAACCCACGACTGTGAAGAGGCCTCGGAATAGGGGTCGCTGTCGAGAAGAACGTGGTCATGATGATGGTGATGATGATATCGAGGATACAACAACGAATAACACAGTAGACACCAGAAAGTAAACTTAAAACATTGCACAATGTCTTCCAAGAGAGGTCAAGTCTGTATGAATTGTGTCCTCTCGATCTGTCTGGGTTAGTTTTCTGTTGTAGAGGACCCTGACAACATCGATCCATTCTTGGCAGAGCTGCTGAAAGAGCAGTCTAAGCTCTTGGCTATCCAGCGGAAGCTGAAGGCTCCGGGTCCTCAAAGGTAAACGATACAGCTATGGGCAACAGAAATGAAACAGTGTTTCCAACAAGCCCTAGCCAAAGTTCACATGTGAATTCCAACCAGGAATGCAAGCATGAAGATGCGGCGACGTTGAGCTCTCAGTCCATTCTTTCACTTGGCTCTGACTTCTAGTGGTCGCAAAGGTCTGTCAAAAACGTCGAGAAGTACCGCCACGAAATGTTGCGCCTTCATGACGAGTTGGCGGAGATGAAAGGCTTGGTCAAGGCCTCCGATTCAAGGCGAGGTTTCTTCACCATTATTTTTGTGTTGCTAATCTGATCATGCGACATGATGGCGACATGTCTGATATTGCTATGTTCCCTGCCCGGAATCCAGGTCCAAGAACGCGGAGCCCCTCGCAAAGCTCCGGGAAAAGATGGTAGAGATCGAGAAATTGTTTGGGCCTTCAACCTTTTTTATGATCGACGTGAAAAAACACTTCTGCCAGGACCAGTCGGGCCCAGTGCGAAGCCAACAAGATCAAAAAGTTTGGCCCTCAGGATTCCAAAGCCGGTCAATTCCACGCTGCAAATTCATCGATCGAGGACCGTGTTGAATGATGCCAAAAGGAAAGGGCGTGATGGATCTGAGAAGGGCACCAACAAGGGAACCAAGACGAGGGCGGACAACAAAGATAAGCAGGATTCGAAAGATAAGAAGGATCATAAGAAGGATCAAGGCAAAGGTAAGAAGGATAAGAAAAAAGAAAAGAAAGCAAAGTAAATTGGCCTAAGCCTGAATCAGGCTGATCTTGCTGGGGTGTGCATGCCAAGAGGGGGCCTTACGATACAAAGAAACAAGCGACATATGAACCTTGTTGCTTCAAAGCCCTTGCAGCGCATGCCAATGGGGTAGGTTGGAACACGGCCGCGAATCTGGCTGTGAGACTTTAATCTGGTCACTGGGCGTTCGTTCAAGCGAAGCGATGAAAAGTCTCTCCAGTATGCAATGTGGAAAATGACACAAATCGCACACATGTTCTTTTCAAAAAAGATGAGCTCTGCTAAATGTTCCTTGACAGATTTGCCAAAGAACATTTAGCAAAGCCATAAGCTGATTCAGACCACCCGGAGGTGCACCTTCATCGTCGACGGCATCTCTGACGCCTGTGGCCAAAGCAGTTTCAAAAGCGATCAGTTCTGGAGCACTTCAACTGAATAAGACATTTCGCAACATTAATCCAGAGAGAACAATACAAGAGAGAACTAAAGAAAAAGATGGTTTTTGAGACTTGAGACGCTGGGATTTGCAAACCTCTGCTTTGCCTTCACCTTTAAGGTACCGGATCGAATCACTTGCATGCTCACTTCAGCCATCTTGGAGGAACATGAGGCCGCCGCCGGTGAGAAAAACATCGCGCTCAAGAGTGGCAAGCTCCTGCAACGAATGAAGAAGCTCAGAAACAGGGGCAAAGAAAGCGATTCCAACTTTTTGGAAACGCATGGGCTTCAGGTGGATGTCAAGTTGTCCTACATTCACATTGGTCTCAAAGAGACACATCCTGTGATTAGATTGGATGATTACGTGCAAATGCTTAGCAGGGAAAACCGCTTAGATTTGTTGACGGGCGGGCATGACTTTTGCAGCTCTGTCGGCCTATTTTGGACACGGTTTGAAGAAGAGAATCCCGGGCTGGTGCAAAAGCTGAAAGACGAAAAGGGAGACCTGGAGTGTTGTTTGCCTTTGGCTGTCTACGGGGATGAGGGACAGTCCCATAAAAAGGCTCAGTTCTTGATTTTCGCCACGCAACCGACCCTGGGGTTTGGCACCTCGTTCACCCAGGAAAAGGACGGCCATGCTTCCGACCTTGGAGTCAACATGATGGGGGTCAGTTGCCTGACTCGTTTCGTATACAGCGTGATGAAAGCATCTCTATACAATCGAACTCCAGATGTCTTCATGTCTCTCCTCACGCAGTTTTCAAATCATGTTGAGGAGCTCTACAGGGATGGAATTAGAATTTGGCATTCGAAGTATGGCAGGCACATCGTTATTTACCCAACAGTGCTTTTCGTGAAAGGCGACTGGCCATGGTTGAAGAAGGCGGGAAATCTGGTACGCACGCACCACCAAGCTGTCGCTCACCCTGGAAGGGGGCGAGGTATATGTCACTTATGCCTAGCTGGCACCCCTGACCACGCAGACTGGAGCGACGTGAATGGGAGCTGGCTTTGTGAAAGCCCACTCCAGACTGATCAGGCACCATGGGTGCGTGAATCTCCTCTCTTGAAGCTTTGTCAATTTTCTGGAACGCCGGCCAAGGCCTTGTGGTTCAGGCCAGACCTTTTCCACACCCTGCACAAGGGGGTTTTGTCTGAGCTCGCTGGGAGTGCCCTTGTTTCTCACATACATTTAGGTGATGGATGTTTTTTGGTGTGTGTGATTTGCTTTGCACTTTTTGCCGCACGTTTTAAGTCTGGAACAAAAACCCCAAAGTCACGTTGGAAGAGTTTCTCCCTGGTCCAAGGTTGTTCTTCTAGACCATAACTTTGATGGGTTCTCTGGAGACATTCCGAGCCGTCTTGCTGAACTCCACTCAGAGCTCAGAACTTGGTGTCGTGGCCACCAGGTCCCTCTCCACATGTCTGGCCTGTCCCGAACAATTTTGCACTTTGAGAAGTCAGCAGATTTCCCAACTGGGTTTCTTGTCTTGACGTGCCCATGTTTCCAAAAAACATTTGTCTTCTGAACCTGTTTCTAGTCGTGGGTGATGGTGCCATAAACTGTTTTCTTCAAGTGTTTTTTGCCGTGGAAGCGCTTCGCATCTTAGGGGATGGTTCAAAGGAGCAGACACTTCTGCAGTCTGCCGCTTTCTGGAAGCCAAGCTCAAGGAGGTCTTGCTCCGGAGCGATTCTCTTCACGAATATATCGGTTCTATCTTGGCGGCCGTGACAGGTGGCAATGCATTCTTGCGAGCACTTTACAATGCGAACCTGTTCTTGGGAAAAGCGGAGGCAGGACTTGTCGCATCTCATGGACGGCAGTTGCTTGAGGGCTACATGAAAGCTGCTTCTTTGAGTTACTCGCTGGGCTACACGAGATTTAAGCTAATACCAAAAGTGCACATGCTAGCGCATTTTGTCCTTCTCATGGAAGAAGCCAGCCGGACAAGAACATGGTGTTTGTCACCTCTATCCTACTCATGTCAGATGGACGAAGACCTAGTCGGTCGATGCAGTGCAATGTCTCGAACATCTTCGATTAGAACGGTGCACCAGCGCACTTTGCGCAAATACCTGGTGAATGTCAAATTTCATTTACAGCAAGAGCCCCGTGAGTGCAAAAAAGCACTAAGGGCTGAACCGTCGAAGCGTCAGAAGCTGACGCGTTGAGAAAAACGGCTGCGTGAGACGGTACTGCGCTGAAACGCAACGTTTTTGAGACCCTAAAAACGCCTTGGGGTGTGTGTGTGCCATATGTATTACTATATATATATATAACTAATATAAAATTATGGCTCGAGCTTGTTCAAGCTACATCTGAAAATGTACTGTGCACTGTGAAACACACAGCGAAACAATGTGGCTCAAGGCACTGTGCTTAGTGCTCGACTTTTGTACTTGAAGGTCTGGTTCAACAGTTTTCGCAAGCACAAATTTAAGCAAAACACAAAATTAGCAAATCCTTGTTATAAGCCAGTGGCGACTTTTCCTTCAAAAGTCATCGCAGTGGCGAGTCCCAATTATTCTTGCCACTAGGCTGTCCAGGTACTACTACTACTACTACGACTACTACTACTACTATACTACGACGACTACTACGACGACTACTACGACTACTACGACTACTACGACTACTACGACTACGACTACGACTACCACTACCACTACTACCACTACCACTACTACTACTATTACTACTACTACTTACTACTTACTACTTACTACTTTCTTACTACTTACTACTTACTACTTACTACTTACTACTACTACTCCTACTACTACTGAATGTCACGCCTGTACTTGTCGGAACTTGTAAGTAACTTAGGGTAACATATATGTAACATAGCCCGTAAACTTATTTTCCACTCACCTCTAACTTATAGGTAGAACCTAAGTAGGAATTAAGTAGCCGACCGCTTTTGGAAATCTAGGTTTTTAGACGATCCAAAAATGCCTGCGCGCGGAGTCTTTTTCTACAGCAAACACCACATCTGTCGAGTGTCTTCATCGACGCGCCACCACATGGCTATTTTATAGCTACTTCGTGGCTGTGGTGCGTACCAACGGAGTTCGTCCGAAAGTTCCCAACGGCTACCCCAGGGCTCATGTGACAAATGCCGGCGCCGGAGGCGCATCAGCTGGAACCGCAGCCTCGCCGTATCGCCTTGTACGATACGCTTTACATGCCCCGCTTCCTCCGACCACAACAGAACATCGCCCACTTCAACCTTTCTTCGCCCTATATCGGCAACGAGACTCTCGCAGAGAGTCGTCCCCCAGGTCCCTCTTGGTTTTGTAATCGGTGGGCCGCGCAGGCTCACGCAGTTCACACGGCTCGAAGCAATGCGTTGGTACAGCAGACAATTGCAGCAAGCGGGGAAGCAATGCTTGTTGCCGTGCATCGAAGCGGTTGACCTGCATGTGTGTCCGGTCAAGCAGGCCACCCGTCTTCAGGTGTCTGTGCTTTTTTTCTTGCGCGCAACAATTGGGCAAGCGGCCCAAAAGCATGCACGCCTTCGGTATATGAAGACGGTGGTGATGCTTTGGCTTCACAAAGTCCAAATCATAGGCGCGGAGCACTTGTTCCTGGTGCTCTTGCTGCAGTAAGGCTAAAGGAAGGACTTCAGAGTGGTCACTGAAAGGCGTGAGGTGATTATACTGCAGTCTCCACAACTCTCTGCAGACGCGAACCAGCGCATCAAAGCATTGGAACTTTGGGTCCGGGGAATGTGTTCTGGATGCCACCAAACACATATAGTAATTCAGAAGGGGAACTAAGAAACAACAGTCGCTGCCGGAGCCGCGGAAGCCCCCCTTGTCAAAATACTTCTCTCCAAGCATCCTACCCAAAGTGTTGGATCTGAAGCTTCGTCCTTCTCCCTCCCGATGCCACTGACTGGCAACCGCGGTGTCAAGGAGGGCGGCCACTGAGAGTCCGCGTTCTTGGAGGCGCTCCAAGATAGCGCCGCATTCCCAGCTAGCCACCCCGTAGCAGAAATAATCGTGAAGAGTGTCCGTGCAACTCCCTTGTGGGGGAAGATGCTTTCGAGTCTCTTCGCAAAACATAAGGCTCCTGAGCCCATCTCAGACCGTAAGCCTTCTCCAGCACAGATCTTCTGGATGTCGTGCGTTCGGCCTGAATGGCAGCGGCCGCCTCATAGTACGCTTCGTTTGTTCGACACAGGAATCGCCGGAGATCAGATTCAGCGATGGTGACAAAACCAGGGGGGATCGAAGTAGCGTGCTTACTCACAACATTGCAACAGTTGACGCACGGAAGCAGGCCTGCTGATCCCTTGATGCCAAAGGTTGCCCGCTGTGCCTCGTGGTCCGAAATCATCAGGCTTGGAGACAACAGCCTCACTCTGAAGCGTTCGCCAGCGAGTTCCAACTCAAAGCCCTCTGTCAGCAGATCGTCG